AGGAGATAACGTCGGTATTATCTTCCAAATTAAATTACATGTTTCCCATTTGACGCACGTGGAAATAAGCTTTTACGGGTAATGTATGGAAAATTTCCCAAAAACGGGCATCAGTAGCTTTTAACATCGCCAGATAAGGATTAATTGAATACAATTAGTTACGTAGACAGCGCAAACAATAGTTAGGGATCTTCTACATGGGCACGATAGCGGTGCTTTATCACAGAATAAAATGAAATGTTCAATAGGTGGCTGTACTCAGTCTAGTGGTTTAGATGCTACGGATATAAAATATAATTTATTTTACTTACTTCATTTATATTGTTCACTCTGCAACATTTCATACAAATGTACAATAGTGACTTAAGGTATCTCTTTCTATATCACATAATATACGAAGAAGCAGTAAACTGTGCTTCTTTGTTTATTGTAAAGAACCTTCCCTTGGGTCTTGGTGAAGACAACTAAGACAATCACCGATAGAAATTCTTTAAAATTTTATTCTTTCAATGGCCCACAATTATCAAATTAATTTGTGAAATATAGAGCTGTTAAGAAAGTCGCACCTATCGCCTAAGAAGTGCGTTTGGAACCCTATAAATGGAGTTTATATTTGTAACGAAATTTATAAAAAAAAAATAACTGAATCTAGTCGATGTGTCACGGCCCTTAGTAATTATGTCGGTATGTCAACGCCCTTTACCTATTGGTCGAGTGTCAACTATTGACTGAGTACCTCATCAGAATAGGCATAGAGGAACAATGAGCGGATGATAACGCCTTATCTACTCCGGCTGCAAAGGGGGGGAGGCGCCGGATACGCAACATGGCGCCTTGGTACTTGTGTTTGTGCATCTCTGCCTTCAAGGAATTCGGCAAGTTATTATTTTTTGAATTAATAATAATATCTGAAGCTTTGTTAATTGGAGAATGAGACCAAATCTTCCAATTTTTTTATTATAATCCGTACAACTATACAAACATTTTCTTTCATACAAATTTTGTGTCGACAATTACAAATCCAACAAAACAAGACTTATCCAAATAGGTGCAGTGATATGCTTAGGACATATCGGCAATTGATTTGTATTTATTTTGAAGATATAGATTATATAAATTTGTGAAGTACGTACAATATTGTATCAATGTTGTACCTACTTGTATACAAGTTATATAATCTAATCGTAACTATCAAGTATACAGTTGAAACCGTTGATATATTGCTTATTATTTTGGGAAATTAATCAATATCTAATAGGTATCAAAAATAGCTTAAGCAGAAATACACAAAGTAATAAAAGGTAAATCTAAACTATTTAACTCTCTCGGCACACCATGTCAAGCATATTAATATTTAATGCTATTTAGTTTAGCTTATATAAATTAGTAACAAGTTTAGCGTGAAGTCAGTCTATGTGTAGAGATTATAGGATTAAGGCAGCGGTCGGCAACCTTTTGGTGGGCAAGGGCCACATAGTTAGAATACGAGATACGAGGTGGAACGCGGTGTTCATAATTTTGATAAGTATCTACATTTTGGTGATAAGAATATCACTTTCATTACCAAAACAGTTGCGAGCCTTAAAGAAAAGAACCGCGTATTTTCGACTGCTAGATTAATGTGAAGTTTGTGATATATCTTTACTAATCAGGATTTCCCCACCCTTTCCTTTCTTGAGCTTCCCTGGATTATACATAACTAGCCTGCGGTTTCACCCGCCTGAAATTTATAGCCCATTTGTTATTCTGATGTGTAAGTTATATTATTGTGAAGTTTCATTAAATCTCTTACAAACTTCCGCGTTTATAATATTAGTAAGATTTTATATAAAGCACCCCTTCTTCAAATGTATATTGTCCGGACAGTATTCATTAATAACATCTCGTGGTGTGTATTTAATACATGCGTACTATATTTCTCCCAAAATTGGAAACGTATTAACATTTGTCTCTGTACCCCTAGATGGAATGTCTTAGTTTTCACACATATGCAAGGCTTATTTGCCAAATGTTGGGAGCTTGCATGTGGCAAGACATGACTAACGTGTAAAATCCGCAATATGTAAAAAATAATATATACAAAGTACTCCAATACATTCCTTCACTGGGTAAAACGAGGGAAAACCCAAATATTTATTCCAATGATCTGGGTAAAGTCTAAACGCTGCATGTGATAATTTATTATAGCCCGAAACATTTCTATATGTTAAAATATTAATATTTTTATATTAGTCATGGCGTGATCAAACAAGAATGTTGTACCTACCTAAATATTACTTTAAATCAGTCATGCAACTTTGGAGCAAAGTGGGCGAATATTCGACGCCATTTTGAAAGTTATTTATCGTGTTGATATTGGCGTAGGTAGAAAATTTAAAGACTGTTTACGTTACAAAAGATACACTAAACAGATACTATACTATACACTGAACACTACAACAGATTAACACTAAATACTAACAATGTAGCACTATAGATACATATATATGTATATATGAAAATTTTGTTCTCAAAAAGCATTATAAACGAAACTAATATACCGATATGAAAAATACCTGTCATACGTAACATCCATAAAAAACGGTTGAGCCGTGCTTTCGTCTTTATAATATTAGCTTGGTTGGGAGTAACGGCCCGTTAGCTACGAATATTCTATGCTAGGATTAGCGCAAATAAGTTCTGGCGAGTTCCACACGGGGGGTGATTTTATCTGCAGTCTTCATCATTCATTGATGTTCCACCACTAGACACCAATAGTGCAAGTGGGGTATCTATGCCGGCGGTATCTCCTAATAATAATTCTATTAAAAGTAATCTAGAAGATAGATATTTAAGTGTCATGTTAAAATGCATGTTTTATCTCCTCTATATTTCTTGCGGATGAGGGAGCAAAAACCTGTCTTTGGAAGCGTAGCATTCGCAAAGGACGCGTGCATCCGCGATGTGTACGCGCATATTCTGTCTCGTTCGTTCATAATTATAATGTCTCTTTCGCTTCATCTTTACATCATGTACTACTTTATTGCTTCGTATCAGGGTTGCCAATAACATATAGGTACGAGATATTTGGTACAAGGACATTCCATGCTACAACATTTTTGATCTTCAATAATCAACATAAAGGTTTTTAACTCTTGTACAAATTTGTATGAGATTTTGCCTATGGAAATCAGCAAAATACAAAAATCAAGAGCCAAATTGAGGCCAAATTTATATGTAAAAAGCTGTACTGTAGCATGATGTTTTAAGTTTGCCAGCCCTGCTTAAACAAGACAGTATTTCATTGGCTTCTGAGGAATAATGAATATGAATACTGATAAAATGGTAATGTTGGAAGGTTGATCACACATTGGAATGCAAACAGGTTCTAAGTACTGCCACCAATTTTTTACTTAAAGTTCAGTGGTTTTGTTTGCAATAATTAAGGAATGTTTATGAGAATACATTATTCAAATATGCCACTGGTTCCACCTACTTGGTCTCTAACTACTTTGTTAATGTGTAGAAAAACAAATGCTTGACTAGTGTACGATTTTTATGTCTCAGTTTAAATGTTTCAACATCTTTTTTGCATGTATACACATTATGCAGGCAAATATTAATTAGAGCTTGTAATTAGACACTTAAAAGATATTATGATAGCCATTATGTACTGATGATACATTTAATAACTGATTATTTTTTCTGTGTTAATACTTTATTATGCCTGATGAGATTATTTTTTATAGAAAAAAGTATTCCCATCATGTGACATTATTTAGCACTATGGCAGCTATCTAGCACTTAATGATACTAGTATTGGCAAAATATTTGTATACAAAAATGTCTAATAGATTGATAATTCTGATACAGTAGGAAATAATTATAATAACAACTGATAAATAATTTAAATACTACTATAAACAGTAAATTTTATTAACATAAACAGCTAGATCTTTAAGTATGTCATATATCTTTAGTTAATAAGATATGAAATTAGGACATCAAAACATATATGTTTTCAGAAAACTTAAGTAAACATTTCATTGACGACTCCATAATAGGTTATGCCTGTATCGAGGAAGTCAAAGTGAGTTTAATAGTCGAAGTTACATTGGTAAATAAATCATATGAATAAAAACAGAAATTCTGAATAAATTTAAATCAGTGTTTCTCACCAGATCCAGTAGACAACTAGTAATATTTATTTGTGACATTTCAGTTCAATTCATTCAATCATTTTTGTATTTAAACTTAACTTGTATTCATACAGAGTTTAAATACGAAATAGAGTTGGATAGTTATTTGTATTATGCTTGTGTCATTGCAGTATGATAGTATTAAGATAGTGTCTAGACAATTTAATAGTCATTACATACATATTACTTATCTCTCAACTCTGTCTATTATAATAACTAAATAAAGAATATATAAACATAGTTATTAAAATACCATAATGTTGTTGAAATACTATCATAACAACTCTGGTCAAAGAGTAATATTTCTATGAGAATTTTCAAGTTTTTGTGGGTTAGACTGCAACATCAGTGGGTTATATATGTGAATTAATCTACTGCAGGTGCCAAGCCACACACATATCATGATCATGTGATGATTGACACCTTGATCATCATCATCATGACTGGTGAAGGAGTCAAAAACAGAAGATATATAAATATATAGAAGTGGTATGCATGTATGAGACGAGATATGAATTGAATTATACAAGAATTGTGTAAGGACAATAGCCTTCCTGCATATTACGTACGTGCGTACATAATTTCTTAATAAATATTGCAATGGTTCCCTTGGTCATTAGTTTGAACTGTACAATAATTATTATTGGTACTTTAAATTAAACCGAATCTGTACAAAATAAAAAACAACAACGGTATTAGGTCTTTTGGATTATAAACGTTCGAACGAAGAACAGGCAGTGGTCAGAAACCAATATTTGAATTTTATTAGAACATACGTAAATAATGGAAGAATTGCTAACTGTAAGAAACTAAATAACTCACCGAAGCTCTCTGTCAGTTTCAACATAACCCCGCCGATGTGCATGTCGCCCTTCACAACCATAGTACGTTTCTCATTTAAGTCTGTCACGTAAACGGTGAGGTTCCACGAACCATCACCAACAATTTCACCGTCCGCCAACATTTTCCACGAGTTCTTTATCACTTTACACTATAAAATGTCACTTCCGAAAGAACATCGCGGTTACGTAACAGTGAACACAAACAGCAAGTTACAAAGACCACATTTGACTGACTCACAATTCAGAATTCACTATTTTACAAGCTAAACGAAATAAAATAGAGTTGCCAACAAGCGAAAACCGCTTAAACAAAAAGTCTGCTTTAAAAAGCACAACAGCAAATTAACCGAATTCGTTAAAAATGTATTATTTTATTATTATTTGTAACATTGGTTAATCGTGTCTAGTACATATCAACTGAATTTCTAATGTAAATATTTTATTGCATTTCAATCTATTTCGTACATAAGAATAATAATTTATATCCATAATTCGTTAAAGACGCTTCGCCATTTGTGGTTTTTATCATTATTGTTTTAGGTAGGCAAATTAAAAGGTACGTCATATCATACAGTAATATTATTCATCAAACCGAAAATTGACCGGATTATTAAACTTTATCTTTTAAAATCATTATGTGTAAAAAACTTATAAAAACATTAAAATTTATTTTTTTATTTCCATCAAATTAATTTATATAAAATTTTTGTTTATTGTGATTTTATAAAAATTGTGGCAGTAAGAATGATAATTACTTTTTTAAATATTCATTTTCGTAAGTATGTGTTGTGTAGTATTTCCATGATTCCGTTTTGTTTGACGTTATATTTCTAGTAATTTAAACTGAACACTTTAATTAAAGTGCGGTATAGATAATACGCTTTTTTTAGGCTATATATAATAATGGTTTATGCAACGTTGATCGTTTAAAATTTGATCTGTGTTTTCAACTTTAAAATAGGACTGATGAATTAGACTGTCTAATATTGACTTTACACTCTTGACTGAGCTTCCAGTATACATGAAAAATTCTATCTACAGTAACAAATTATAGTCTTGTAAATAATTATTTGATTGTATTTCATTATGTGTTATATTATTATTATATGATTTATACTATACAATAATTACATATCTACGGTTTATTAGGACGTCAGTAATTATTTTAACGTCTGACGTTGAATTTACAGTTGATTTTGTCAATGTCAAATCTTGTTTAGTACTGTACATTGCGCTGTTTAATTGGTTAGTTAGAATAGTTTGTATTTGTTAGTATTTGTATTTTATTCAAATTCTATATATGTGAGTAAATTTGTTTGTTACATATACTTATGAATAGAAAAAGTTCATCTGTAAGAATGGTGGCGTCAAAGAATAAAAATAAAGGTAGGTTATAAAAAGTTAAGTTGTTTCAAGACCTTCACGTAAAAAAAATAGTTAGATTATATTAAATTTTAATACATACTTAATATATTGACGAAAATTTTTATTTTCTTCTTTCAGTAATACCATGTTCAACGCCTGAACACGCAGAATCACCATCTAGAGACAGCGATTCATTATGTGATTCGGAAGCCGGTAGTCCCGTCCCATTTCTATGTACACAGGATGGTGCAGAGGGAGAAACAGATGTTGTTTGGAACTTTTATACTCCAAAATCAGGAAATACATTAAGTGCTCGCTTAAAAAATTCAACCCCGTTAAGTAGAAAAACGAAAAAGTCATCAAAACATAAAGTAATAGAAAGACAATTGCCTAAACGTAAAGTAGTTAAAGCATCCCAGAAAAGGAGTGAACTATTTCAAGACTTAATTGAACTGAATCAAAATCTACATGAATTAATAGGGAAAAAAACAGCAAGCAATTGTGTATCACAAAATAATAGATCTGAAAAAGAAGAGGATATTTTTAATGACTCACTGCATTCATCAAGAGATTCACCCAAAAGTGGTTTGAAAACAAGTTCAAGATGCCTAAGAAGAAATGTGTTAAGTTCAAAATTTAGTAAAAATGAGCCTGAAACAGCTTTAGAATCAGATGATTCAATGAATGAGTGTCTTTTAAAAGCCAGTCAAGTTGTAGAAGAGAACATATCAAAATATGAACCAAGTGCAGCTAAAAGAGTTTGTAATGAAAAATACAAAAAAGAAATTAGAAATATAAAGCCAGATTTTAGTTTTAAAATAAATGATGATTCAATGGATGCAATATTAAACAGCATTAAGTTAGAATCTCCAGCTGTAAGAAAAATAAAAAAATGTGATTCACCTAATTTGAATAATGATTCATTTGATACTTTAGTTAGCGATTTAAATGATAGTGCATTAGAGAAATTAACTCAAATACCAGTTGTAACAAACAGGAAAGTTAATTTCAACATTCCAAAAGAAGATGACTGGAAAGTTAAAGAGTTAGTAGTTCATGATAGCAGTCCTTCACCGAAGGTGTTTGGTCGTCATAGTTCTATGCCAGAATCACCATCTTTCAACACTTTAATTAAACCATCAACAAGTGGAATGGCTTTTGGAAGATACAACTCAATGCCTCATGGAAATGATTCTGTTAAAGGTAATTTACACAAAGTTAATGCTTTTATTTTAGTATTTGTTTTTATGTGAATGCTTAGTAAACTAATTTTAGTAATCCCAAGTTTCGATTTTAGTAATCCATAACAGCCTATAAACAGCCAATTGATTTATAGGTGCTTATTTTTCACTATTCTAATTTTATAATTAATCATGTATATTATAGATGGTTGTAATATTTTTCTGCATATTATGATTACTATAAAAATATTACTTAGTAAATTTAAGTTAGAAATTTAATTACTTTTAAGTAGCTCATGTGAAAAATTATTTAAATGTTTTAAATTATACTTTAATTTATTTTAGATCCTGGGGATTCTCCAATAAAATGCAGTCCAGATGAAATTGAAAGGAAAAGGATACAGGCAAGAGAAAAACTTATAGCGAAAAGATTGTTACCATTCACATCAACACAAAAGAGCAGCCAATTTCAGGCCACTCAAAATACACAACAATCAGCAATTACAAGAAGTCAATTCCAACCCAAGGTTCTAAGTTCAAATTCAAACATATTATCAACAAATATAAATAATGTGTATAAACAGAAGACTAGTAATTCTACTGATTTAAAATTGATAATTGAAAAGAAAAGGCAGGAGGCTTTATTGAAATTGAGACGACGCCAGCCCCAGAATAAATAATATGATGTAATACAAATATTTTATTACAAGAAACTGATTTTGCATCCTCGTAATATTAATTATAAATAACCTACCTATTCCTTCATACAGCTATTTTAAATTATAGGTATAATAATGTATATGACTGTGACTACTCTTTAAGTGATTTGTTTTTCTTAATTATGAAAATATATATCATTATTCTAGAATTATTTAATTTATTATTATTATTTGTGAACAAGCACAAAGAAAATTAATGCAAGTAATTTAAGAGTACATACTGTAGGTTTAGTATATGATGTATCTTGAACTATAATATTCTTTTCACATTATTAGTTAATATTTCAATTTAGACGGTTTATGGGAAACGCTTAGGAAAGGAGTTCTTCAAAATTATGAATTTATTGACAAATAGAATCAAATTGTTACCTACTAAACACTGAATATAGTAAATGTTACTGCTACGTCTTGGTACTAAATATAGATATTTTTATAAGTCATATTCATATTGGTCTTTCTTGATGGACGAATATAGGAAAAAAATATTGATCTTCATTACCCTACATTTAGGAGTCATTAATTAGCTTATTAGCATAGTATTTGGCAATTTTTTTATTTATTTGCTGGCAAAATCAAATTTTGGCTTTCACATCACTTTGACATTGACAGTAATATGTCATTCAAAATTGTAAAGTTGTCAATCAATTTTCAGTTTATATTGTTACAAAAATTGTTTAAAAAGGCAATTACTTAATGATTATATTAACTTTATCTATAATTAAGTTACGATACTCTAGAATACTAAGATATTTAAAAGAATAAATGAATGTTGTATTATAGAATATCTTCAAAACAAGTTTTAATTACGAATAACCTATATTTCCGGCTAAAACTTAGTGTTTGAAAATGGCTTTGAATTACTTTCGACAAATAACAAGAGCAGTGTGCTCAGTGAAGAATATAACTAGAATGCAAGTATCAAAGGGCTTTAGTACTAGTGAACCATCCCATCTCGGCATGATTCCAATTGTAGTTGAACAAACTGGACGAGGTGAAAGGGCATATGATATCTACTCAAGACTGCTTCGAGAACGCATAATCTGCCTTATGGGACCTATTAATGACGATATCAGTTCATTAGTTGTTGCTCAATTATTATTTTTACAGTCAGAATCTAGTAAAAAGCCTGTACATTTATACATTAATTCTCCGGGTGGCAATGTAACATCCGGCTTAGGTATTTATGATACAATGCAATATATTACTCCTCCAGTTGCGACATGGTGCGTTGGTCAAGCGTGTAGTATGGCATCTTTATTATTGGCGGCAGGGGCACCTGGTATGCGTCATGCACTCCCTAACTCGCGTATTATGATTCATCAACCATCTGGTGGAGTAAGAGGACAAGCCACAGATATACAAATTCAAGCAGAAGAGATTTTAAAGCTGAAAGCCCAAATCAATGCATTGTATGTCAGGCATACAGGTTTAGCAGCTGAGAAAGTGCAGAATTCAATGGAGCGGGATTACTTTATGTCACCATCGGAAGCTAAAGCATTTGGTTTGATTGATAATGTTTTGGAGCATCCACCTTCTCATGCCTTGGAAAAGGAGTGTACTGCAGCTTCACCCACTGGTACCACAAATTGATAAGAAAAGGGAATTTAATTTAGTCTATAATGTTATGTTTAATAAAAACAATTTTGGTTTGATTGTTTTGTTAATTTTAGAATGATTAAAATAATATTTATATTTATTTAACTTGTAATTTCTCTGCAAACAGTCTATGTCTACATAATGATATAATATTCTCAATAACATACTTAAAGTATTGGCAATATTGCTTTATAAATATTTATTTTCATGTAACTGGAATGTCAACAGTGGGTCTATCTTGTAAATGATAGCTGTTGCTTAATTACATAGGCAGGTACCATATTCATCGAATCTACTTCATTAAGTAATTGAAAGAAAATTTATTAAAGTAAAAGATTATCTAGTTAATTTCTTCAAAGTTTCAAAATGAATGAGCACTTGTGACTGTTTCATGGAAAAAATTGTATAGAAGTATATTAATTGTATATAGTATACAAGATACTTATAGGCTTGAGATTTTAAGGCATAAATATAAAAACAACACTTCATTAGTAAATGAAGTGTTGTAATTTTTATTTCTAAATTATGAGTTGTCAAATGACTATATATGTATTAATTACAAAATAATATATTAGCATTTCCAGTAATCCATGAGTAGTAGTACGTGACATTTGTATATACCATTAAAGTCGGCATTTCTAAGATCCTGAATGATACCAGTCCTATTTGCTGATGTCCATTTACCACTAAGGCACTGCCAGAGTCACCCCTGTTTAGAAAACAAAAAAAAAACATTAACAAAAATATTTTTTTATGTATTTAAACCAGACAATTCAATTTCATGAAGTTTTATAATAGTTCTTAACACTGCTCTTATATATAGGAACAGAATGAAAATATAATATATATTATAACCTATAGTGCTATTAAAATAGAACAAATTGCAGTTTTCAGATAAATTTTGTTTTGTTTTAAGTGAGGCAAGCAGACTTAAATATATTATACTTAAGCAGACATATTTTATGTATAAAATTAAAACAAATAATATACCCCAATATATAAATATGTATTAACAATACATATTTATAGCGTCGAAGAAATGAAATAAGACTATCAGGCACATTATCTAACTTAGTTTATTCGCAAGAATTAATGGATCATCGAATTGTTTTAGAAAACTTATATAAATTATGGACGATAATGCAAGCTGCACCCGCCAGCATAATGAGCATGAGGTCAGTTTTTGTTTAAGTCTACTCTCTTTTACTCAATTTTAGTCAATAGAAGTATGTAAATAGTATAAATCTTACAGTGATGGATGCGAATCGTTGGCACGCAGACTTCCCGCGCAAAACATCCCCGCTGTTAATTCACCAAGTTCTGCACATTTGGTTTTTGATCTCAATTTCTGAGATACATGTTTTAGACGCTTTGTGATCTTGTAAGTGTCATCCTTTTAAATAATAAGATTACTGTTAGAATATTTCTCAGCTCGTTATTGATAGTGGTTTAGAAATCGCGTCTTAATCGTAATTAAGTCCCAGATTTAAATTTAACTTTCTGACTGATTCTCTGATAATGATAATACTGTTAACAAACCAAACTAAACCGAGAGATGGCGGTAGGATCGCCTTATTGGATCCAAATACCCAGTAACATATTCTGTATATCATTATTTACTACATATTATTCGCAGTAGGTAAAATACTGCATTCTTTATTGTTAAGCAAACAAGCCGCTATTTTATATTAGACGTATGTATGCATATAGAATGGTGTTGCATATGAAATGGCGAAGATATCCAGGATATCTTCGCTATTATGAGAATACATTTTGTAATTAATATCTACAAATTGAAAATAATCACACGCTTATCCATAGTATGGGATAAGCATGTTAGACACATTATATGGAACCCACACATATTATATGGGAAGCCTCATTTACGTCATAAGCTTTAAAATTAAGTAGCCGTCTTAGTTCTAAGTATTTCTAATAATAAGAATGAAACTTACACATGTGACTCCCCATCCAGCTATATATGCTTTTGTAATTTCCGGAGAGAATCTTCTAGAAATTGTTACACGTTGCACTAGCCTTCCTAGTGGTATATCATTCTCCAACCGTGCTAAAGCTATATCATTACTCACTGATATTTCATCATAATATTTATGCATTAGAAATTTGGATACTCTTCTCATAATATTTCCCTAATAACAGATTAAGAACCATTGAAATAATATCTTGTTACTTATATTAAATCTAGATTGACCGTCTCTTGAATATTTGTACAAAAACAAGCTAATTTGGCTGATTGCATCGAATCGATTTTCTGATTGCTTCCATCTGTTCTACGGAACCTTGAAGGTGGGCTTGCAGTATAAAGTAGCTAAGATAACTTGTTTGTAAACCTTAATGTCCAAGTAATATAGATACTTATACTTAATTATTATAAAATACAGAAACCAACAAGAGGGGACTTGTCAAAAGCAAACAGTCTAATTAATGTTCATAACCCGTATAGACCAGTCCCCACAAACAGCACCCGTTCACGAGCATGACGGATTAATTACCTAAATGTTGAAAAGAATTATGTAAATAGAACAGTCTTTGTTTCTAATCCTTGGATCTATCGAGAAGGTTTACGAATATAGTAGTTTAATTAAGGAAAAAAGATTTTATTGAATTTGCATAAATTTAATTTCATAAAACAAATTCATGAATTTTTATTTAACAGTAGATATCAACAAGTAAACACATTCAATTAAAAATTTGTTGAGTTTTATTATAGACTGTTGCTATTGCTGAGATAATTTATTTTTAAAAAATTATATATTAAGATCCACCTACATTAAATCTGAATATGTATGCTTTGCGTCTCCGCGAAGTATTAGGTATATTTATTAAACGCAGTGAAGTGTGAAGGTAATGTCCCTGCCTACATATGTTTAGGTTCGACTAACGATTAGTGACAATTCCCATTACTGGATGTAGATAAACGTCATCGATGACTTCACTTACATGTTTTAAATTTTCGTGGCCGACCAAGGTTTGTATACGATCATTTTTTAACGTACACCCGAATACGCAATGAGCAGCCGTTAGAATTAATCTCTGATTCAGGACGGATGCTCCGCAAATCCATTGTCTTCTGTCACATTGAGCGTTCATAAAAACTGAGTGAGGGTACTCTGCTATTTTCGCAAAGCTTCCACCAACTATCTTTGGTTCTCTAGCACTATCGCCACACTTAAAAAAATATATTATTATTACATGAAAAAGATACATATTATACTCTGCCATAGTAGCTATTGTTGGACGCTATTTATATTTATTGCCTACTTTTTCATTACGCACCGATTTATGGATGAATATTACACTCGTGATTAGTAAGACTCGATAAGGAAAGTGGATTAATTTTTTTATTACTTTTTGTGGTAATTTCTTCAGTTCATTACTACTCGCTTGAATACATACCCTGGGTCTTACATGAGAATTATATAATATATAAGTTTATATGGTAACTCCATACATACAGTTCATTGGTCAGCAAATAAAAAAGCTATTATGTGTCTTATTAAAATAGTTTTGCAATGCAATCGAAATTATGACTTATTGTCTGCCCCTTTTAGTGCAGAAGAGATAGCGGATTGATAATAGGGTCGCAGAACGGGAATAATACCCCTGGTCTGGAAGAGTGAGCACAGGAAAAATGTATAGCTTATTATATCAGGGAAATTACAGTAGGATGCCAGCCTTTTTAAGAGGAATATTCTCATTTATTGAAGATTTCAATCACCATTCAATCAACCACGCGCAGACGCCCCAGGTGGGATCACCATTATCAACATTTAGCAAAGAAAATAAATAAGTACGTAACAAAAACAATATAGCTGCTTGAGAAGGGTTAAATAACATGACAAATGCATGTTATAAAATGGCTGTCACAGCCGAGAAACTACAACAAATAGAGCTGTTGTTTTTGTAACTCAATTTTGTAAATGATATTATTAATTTAGATACATAATATACACATAAATGTTTACAGGTAAATATTATGTAATATTTAATTTAATGAAACTTCGCAATATTTATATAATTTATCCTATTACAAACATTAGATATGTCATAGGTATATAATAATATGTATTTATATCTTTTTAAATAATTTAATTAGTAATTATCTTTTGCAATTTATTAGACGCTATTAGGTATACGATTAGCGCCCTCTGAAGACACGAGCCATTAAGCAGCTATGATTTAGTGTAAATTTTAACAATGAACATGTAGCGTTTCATAATTTGACTCTTAGATCTTGGGGCCTGAATGGTGACGGGTGGTGCGCATGTGCAGCACCCTGGTCGATATTTGGTGACGTCAGTCGGAGTTAGGCCTCAGTCAGCCGTCGTCGGCCACAGTGCGAACATGTGGTTGCAATGTTTGGCTGCGACCCTGCTGATCGCGGCGACAGCCTCCCGCGAGGTGTTTACCAACTCGTTCCTGGTCAGGTTCAAGAGATCGCTGCGACACGACGAGGCACACGATGTAGCGCTGCGCCACGGCTTTGACAACCTTGGACCGGTAAGTTTGGCGCCACGTGATTTTAAGTAAACATACGCGACGTGAACGCGGCGGCATAACATCATTCCCGACATGGTTGAAACCTAATCTGATTTACGGACAGTTCACAGTTTGATGATTTCTGTCATTGCATCTATATAAATATATATTTATATTGTCTGAATGTACAGTATGTCAATGAAATGTACGGCTTCTAGATTAACCGTTACCTTGGAGAATTATGCCTCATGAAATTTAACTGCTGTAATAAATAATATGTTAAATGTACACAGAAGAATAATAACTTCAGATCTTATTGTATTCTGCTTAATTTATAAGCACCTACTCTAATATTTAAATTAATAGGTATTCCTTATAACCTATTATTTATCTTCTTGCTATAAGTATCTTTTATTCTATAATATGGTAGTAAGTACGGTTTCGAAACAAAATTATTTATTGATTTATTAACAATCCAATGCTCAAATACATAAATAAAGGTGCAAATGGCATAACACCTAGAGGCATTTTCTTCCAGTCAACGATAGGACAAACAGAGATTGGCTGGTGGATTATTTATCAAAGTTAACAACGTAAAAAAATATTTATTCATTATCCTGTACTATTACGTACCTAGATTTATAATGCAACTAATAATGTTTAAAGCATTATTCTTATGTATTTATGTCATGTAGCAGGTATATTATATTAAAGGAGATATAAAGATGATATAAATGACAATTAAAAACATCTAAAAGGTAAAATTTCTTTTTTTTTTATTTTTTTTTAAGTTCCTAATTTTGGTTTTTACATTACATTTTTAATATGAGTATAATTTTAAAAAGCTCTTTGAATTTATGAAGAATAAGTTTTTACCGACGGCTTTGTTAGCCTAACAGACATGCTTGACTGAGATAAAAAGAAGCCAATATCCATTACCATCCTAATTAATTATAAGATAAATTTCATGGTTTTGTTGAGCTTTTAAGAAGTAACAAAGAAAAAAACTCACTTTCATATTTATATTGCCAGTAATAACTTTTTTATTTATCTAATATTTTATATTATTTTATTTAATATTAATGCACATATAACCTACCTAAAATTCTTACCTTAGGTAGTTTATATGTGCATTTACATGTATTATTATACATACCTATCAGTCAACCATGGACGGCGCATAGAAAAGTTGATGGCACTAATATAATAATAAAGTATAAAAAAACATGATTAATCGATATCCATCAGCATCCTAAATAACCGAAAAATAAATTTCAGGGTTTTAAAATAATAAAAAAACAAACTCCCTTTCACATTTATGTCCTAATAAATTAAGTACTTATTTCATAAAGAGCCACAGATTATCATCATTTCCTTTACCTTATCCCATAGGTATCATTTGGGGTCGCCACAAAACAAAAGTGATAAACAAAGCAAGGTGTCATAGAATTACAAAAGATCCATAACTGTAAAAACGTAGGTTTACGATCTAATATAAGGAAGTTAATAAAATGTGGGCGAGGCAGGCGACTAATGTACCTAATGTGATTAATCCATCTTTAACTTTATTACTTTTTGATTGAATAACATTATTAACTCTACAGGCAGAAACTTTTATATTACACAGAAAGTATGTAGTAAATATATTTACTTTGGAAAGAATCACATTTTTTAGAAGTTACCTGCGACTTTGACATTATGATATTTAACAATTTTTTTTATTAAAATAAATAAAATTTATAAAATAAAAGTACCCGATATTACTCCTTATGACCTTAGCTATCTGCGAGTGAAAGTTCCATCAATATCGGTGCAGTCATTTCTGAGATTAGCAAGAACAAATTGACAGATACATAACAATATTTTAAATTAATTATATGACATAATTGCCCTATATGCATTCTTATGCATTTAGTGAAAATTTCATTAATATTTATAAAAGCGCACACTGCTAAGAAAACCACTTCTGCTGTGGCTCGGCAATTCCAGACGTCCATTACCATCTCAAAGAGTATTAGGATTCTTGGTGTCGATTCCTCTAGCACAGTTGAGTTCCGTAGTTACCTTGAAAAGTTGAAACTGAAGATCCAATTATCGCCTAGGTATATGCATAATAGAAACAATACTACGAACATCACGTCATCATGTGATGATCATGATATTCTTCATGCTGCCAAACTGGAGCACTAAGATGTCAAGTCTTCGTCACCTGCTAATTTCACGGTCATATGTCACCGATACCAACCGAATGCTGTTTAGCAGTAGAAAAGTGTGGGACACGTACTCCCGACACAAAGTCTACCTCAGTAAAAAGTAGTCGACGCTCAATTGTGAATTAAAATTTTTATAATAATACTACTAAACATATAAACCATTTTCTTGAATCACTGTATCTACTGCTAATAAACTGCACTAAAATCCGTTGCGTAATTTAAATGATCTAAGCGAATAGTCATCGGAAGTGACTTCATTTTATACTATGTAATGATTTAAATATCATTAAGCACGATTTAGTTTGTTTAAAATGCTTTATTTTATTAAATTTAACATTACAGACCAACTCTATACATTTTAGATGTTTAGAATAAAATATATTTGGATATCAATGATAATATGACCCTAGTGATACCACTCATGCGTTGTCATACTGGTTGACTAAGACGTCATACCTCTTATCCTCTAATTTCACTGCCTTTTCACCCTTCAACAGAAACACAGCTTATAAAGCAAGCTGATTGGAGACTGAAATAGGTAGACAGTATGAAAATAATAGAGATGCTTGTAGAGACGTTTTGCAGAGCGCAGTGACAGAAGTAATATAAAAGAAATTGTATATACTGAACATTATATTTTAAATATGGATAAAATAATATATAAAACCTGCCAGTGTTTCTCACAGTAGGTCTAACATAGACCCATGTAGAAATCTTTTATAAAGTCCATCTCGGTGATTGTCTCCTGTTCGGTGGTGGACTGCTTAGTTTATCACAGTATTTTACACTTTATCTACATTGCAGCGTTCTGAAGTGATCGTTACCGTCTAATCAAACAATAGGGGATACCCCTGACAATGATCAAAATAATGTTTACGCTATACGCTTCACGACAGTATGACAGTAATCGATTGGTTAGATACCTACCTATTACTTAACATGCGGGAAGTTCAATATACTGTCTCGTATACCTATTTAGGTAAATAATAATAAATAATAAAGCTTTTATCCAGATAATAGTTTTTGTATACATATACAAATTAAGAAGTTTTGACGGCCTCGATGCGGTGGTCTAGCGGTTAAGCAAACCGTTTTACTTCCCATGGTCGCGGGTTCGATTCCTTCCTTCGACAACGTGCGTGTCAACATTTGTATTCATGAGTATGCTTGTTTGAATCCGTCTGGGTGTTTTTTATGTGTATTATGTATATGTTTACAAAGAAATATATCTAAGTATCTATATCAGGTGTCTAGTACCTACTACCTATATATTTTTTGTGTCTCAATATAGGTAAATGGGTATATTAGTATAAATAGTAGTATTAGTAGTATAGTAATAGTATTTTTTATTGTATTTTGTACAAGATGTACATTTTAAAAATTTATTTTAGAACTTATTAGTTTAATAAATAAAAAAGTTAAATTCTATGCGGTTGCCGTCGCAGGTACGTTAGGTACCTAGTATTTAATAATATACCCTATTCAACTTCATGTACGGGCTATTATATTTTGTACCAGTAATGAATTCTAATAGTATAATTAACTATTGAAGTTGTAAGACAAAAGTTAGTAGCTTCTATATTGAATTACTTGGTACACCTGAAAGTTAGAAGAGAAATTGCTTGCAGCACTTGAACAGTAACTATACTTTGAAGAGAAGGAACAAATGAAACAGTTGGGTAACCTTGTTGTATATATGTACTTAGTTGGATAGATAGAGACTTGAGAAAGTAACAAGCTAGGAGTAAATAAACTAGGTTAGTGGACGGACGCTTCCATTCACATTTCAAGTACAAGGGTCTTTTACGAGAGTGGATTTCAATGTTTTCATGTTGAAAACATTGCGAAGGTTTCCAACAATCTAGTATAGCAGTGGGCATGATTTCTTTTGCATTAAAACATCCTATTTATATTAAAAAAAGGGAAGTGTTGTGGAAGGCATTCACAACCTATTTATATATTTAAAAAACACGATTAAGGTAAATAAAGATAACTCTGTTAGGTACATTGTTTCACTCGACCGATGTCGGCACGGGTTATTAGTGTCTTATTTTTTTTTTACTTTTATAATTACCTATAAGTAAAAAATAATTACCTATATAATCAGATTAAAAAGAACCCGAAATCGTATTATACGCGTAAATAAAAGGCCCTTATATACATAATGTTATTGTAGATAGCATATTTACTAAAGGGACTGAACAAGAGAGCGCTGAAGGGATGAATTAAACAAGCTTCTGCGAAAATAGATTTATTTGGTTTTTCTCAACATTCGGGTGTTCTATTCAGGGAATAGAATACGCGTCATGTGTTTGCTTGTTATCGTAAAAAGCCCATGTGTAGGGACTTGGGGACTGCTATTTTTCAACATAAAAAGTAGATAAATACAAAAAAAATCCAAATATAAACATATATTTAGGAGCAGTACTTAGATATATTTTTTACTTGATTCCAAAATGAATGAGAATAATATTTACACTTTATTATTATAAATAGGCTCTTTATTAAAATTGAATAGATTCTGATAAATCTTTTCGCTATCCATAGTGCTATACGCAAATATGGAAACATTGTTCATTGTGTAAAAGAGCAGTTTAAGTCTGAAAGACTTAAACATAACAGTTAAAGACATACAATTTTTTTGTTACCAAATAATAATGTATTTTTAAAGTGTTAAACATAAAAGTAAAATTTGTTTTTATTAGTAAAGTAATTATAAATCCATCACAGAGACACTAAGTTACAACTCCGATATTTTATATAAATGTTATTAGGGTTGGTAGTAGTTTTCTGGAATATACTCTAAAT